TTGTACATGCCCCCTTCGCTTCTTCACAGTGGATGCCATGTTCGTTGAGGGCAGCCGTTGATGCTGCTGCTTTCCATCCTTACACGGCGCGCCCGGTTTCCTGTGGATGACAGCTATAGCCAGTCTGTAGACCAGGCTCATCATTCTCAGGCACATGCTGTCATTTCCTTCTACGTCCAAGCAGCACTTCTCTTACTTGAATGTAAGTTTGGATAATTGGTTGTTTAATCAATGACACATTGTTTTTACTAATTCCTGCACTTTGGCTACCTTGTTGTCTTCTATATGCCATTGAGGATTCCTCCCAGATCTGATATGCCAAGCAGCAGAATTTCATTAGAGCTCTCCATCCATCCATCCTCTCATCCATCCCTGGTCTTCATTCCACAAGAACTATCATTAAGGCTGCTGAACACTTTTACCAACTAACCTGAGCCAGGACTTTGTTATATTATCAACTCTGGAGATTCCACCAATAGGAATTGGGAATGAGTACTTTTTATATTTTTTTTTATTGTGGTCAGGTACGAAGCTTAGAGCGTTGAGAGACTTTTGCTTTTTTACATTCTAGCGGTACACTGTTCCTTGGCATCATCACATCCAGTGCAAGGCTTGGGACCCTGCATTGGTCTTGATGATGTCAGTGCCTTAGGAGCATACCAGAGGAAACACTGCAGGGACCAGTCAAGTAGAGACAAGTAGAGTGAAGGAGTGGTGAATCAGGTAAGTAAATATTCTTTAACAAGTCCCCAAGACCTAAACAAGCAAGTTTTCAGTTTTCCAAAGTTGGATTTTAAGTAGATCTACAATTATATTCAAGTATATCATCTGATTGTTTATACTTATACAGTATATTAAAGTTAATGTATTTCCACTGCAGGACACAACTGGATTTCCCCATGGTCTGTTTCTGCTCTAGCAGTATTTAAAGTGAGCATATGCTGTGGTCATAACCTATGTCAATCTGTCCCACAGTAGTCAATCCTTCCAAATTTTAGGTTTTTTTTCTAACTCTACTAAACAATGTGCTTTCATTTTTCGCAGGGCTCTTTTTGTTTGCTTGATAGAATGCCATAATTGTTAGTCATAAGATATTTTAGTCATTCACTAAAATGCCAGCTTTGTCTGTGTCCCTGACCAGTCAACAGGGTCATTCTATCAGAGTGTGCTTGTTTTACTTTGGTCAGCAATGACTGCTGCATTTTTTAGTTTTTTCTATCAGATTATAAAAATATTCTGAAAGGGGAACTATAATTGTGTTTGATCTGTTGTATTTAGAGACTCTTTTCAATGTTTACAAACAAACAATTTATGACACGTTTTTATTATTTGTGTTTTATATTTTGACATCAGCATTTTTTTTGGCTCACGTGTGATGCGTACTTGACATGCCCCAAATAAACCACAGAGTTTGCCTATGTTAATGAGGATGTGCGCCATGTGCAGCAGAAATGGTGAAAAACTCAAATTGTGATTTGTCACAGCAATGTCACATTTTTTGCGCCTTTATATACTGATATTTGTACCATAATGTAACATAGATATTAGCCCTCTTCTCAATGCCAAGGGAAAAGGCAGACTGCAGGCTTCCTGTGATGAGTTTCTGGAAGGACCCTCACAAGAAGGAGCAGGAAGGGGGCAGGTCTGTGCTGCTCTGCTGTCTGCACTTTTCTCTCCCTCCAGCAATTACTTACTGATTGTGAGCTTTAGGGAAGAAGGATGAGGTGTGACAATTTAATTCCTGGAATGGCAATAACCCGGTCAAAGACCTATTTGAAGACTGTGTTCTTTCTGATCTTCTGTCAAGACTGAGGCACCAGATTTGTGGACCATGGTGGAACAGATGGTAGACACTTACGGGAGTTTCTCTTGTAGGAAATCCCATGGCTTTTCTCCTACATGACACACCTCTATCAAATAAATGCTATAAAAACTCTCTATTGAAACACCTCTTAATACTGCAAAAGCCTGCATCCCAGCACTATGGAAAAGTACCCTCCCCCCTAATAAAACACATTGGCTTGCCCAAATTAATGAGATGGAAAATTTAACTATGATGCTTAAGGAGCAAGAATAAAAATACTGGAAAATCTGGACCCCATACTTCTTTTACAAAGACCAGACTGTGCTGGCCTCCAAAAATTGAGACGTGGAGATCAGTCGTTCCACCCCACATGTTCCCTAGTGGGACAGCAGGATTGTTATGGGCATAGGACCAGGAGGAGAGATGGATTTCTTTTTTCTTTTTCTCTTTCTCTTCCCCCCTTTCTCTCTTTCTCTTTTACCTATTAATGTATTTACCTGCCTACCATTCTCTTTCCCTTCCTTTCCTAATCCCTTCCCCTCTCCACACCTTCCCTCTCTCCTATTCTTTAATTCCTCATGATGCCTATTTTTTTTTTTTTTATATTGAACTTTCCCCTCTGGGATTGATTGTTGATTTTCCCTCCAATGACAAACATAAAAATTAAGGAGGAGGAGTATGTTTTTGGGATGTAGACAACTGGATCAGTTGAGTTCTTATCTGTTGTGATGAATATACCAACACTTTCCATATTGTTTTGTATGGTTATTCATTTATGTATCATATGGTGTACAGTGTTTATTCTACATGCCACTCAATTGTGTATTGGTTGAAATATCTTGTCATGCTATTTCTTCAAAATAAGGAACTAAAAAAAAAACACTGAGGCACCATCTTTGTGGTAATCATTCTCATTTTCAGACCCTCCATTAGAATCTGCCTCACTGTTTCACTGTTAATGTTCAATTCTTCTGCCATCATTAAAGTGCGTGTAAAGGCTCAAGGTTTTTTATGCATGCATTCATGCATTAAGTGTGCAGATCCCACAGCCCCCCAATACTTACCTGAGCCCCATCATGATCCAGCAATGTGTATGAGAGCCTTGGCTCTCTGGGGACTCTCCCTCTTCATTGGTTGAGACAGCAGCAGGAGCCATTAGCTCCTGCTGTTGTAAATCACAGCCAGTGAGCCAATGAGGAAATAGAGGGGGCAGGGCTGAGCCACAGCTCAGTGTGTGAATGGACACGCTAAGCAGCGGTTCAGGAACAAGCCTACTTGGGTGCCTCCATAGCAAGCTGCTTGCCCTGGGGCACTCGGCAGGAGGGAAGAGCCAGGAACGCCGGAAGGGGACCCGAGAAGAGGGGGATCAGGGATCAGGGGCTGCTCTGTGCAAAACGAAGACACAACAAACTCTGTACTCCTGCGCTTCGGGATGGACTCGGCTAGGGTTGTGGAAACATCACAGATATCCAAGAAAATGCACTCCTTGCTGCCCTCAACAGACCGGGGTAGTCTAATGTCACTGGATGCAAAGAAAAACAAACAGCCTAGTGCATTATTGTAAAAAATGTATTGGAAGGATAAAAAGTAAGTATCGTACTCACAATAGGCAAACAGGTCAAAGGCACATCACACTAAACAGCGGTGTCCAGTCCATATAGCATATAAGTCCAAAAAATGGAACCCTGGACTTCCAACTGACTAACGCGTTTCGAGGTCTCAATCTCTTCCTCAGAGCCACACCGTCACATCGTGAGTACGATACTTACTTTTTTATCCTTCCAATAAATGTTTTTTACTATAATGCACTAGGCCGGTGCGCCCTCTGTTTGATTTTCTTTGCATCCTGCTCTGTGCAAAACCAGTGCACACAGCAGGTAAGTATAACATGTTTGTTATCTTTTTATTTGCCTTTAATATCACTTTAACAAATTCAATCTTCAATCTGAGCATACAAAGGTTTGCATTGTATCCACATTTGCATCATTACTTTGCATTTTTGGTTGCCCACTTCTTGTGTCATTGTGGACATCTTCTTGCCCCTCCTGAAACTCTCTATGCTATTTAAAAACTCTTGATTTATTCATGAAATGTTCACCATAACCAATGTAACAGAGCTAAAGTTTCACCCGTAGTTTGCCAATTTTCGCACAAAATTTGATATTAATCTAATGCTCCAGATTCCTGTCACTAGTTTTCTTCTAACAGCGCAACGCTCGCACATGTTATTTCTTCCTCTACTCCGTAAAGACTGAGTCAACTGGTCTGTGACCTAGGCAAGTGCAAGTTAGAATGTATGAGAACACACTCAAATGGCTGTGTGATTCACCACCATAGTGCTAGGCTGCTGGCATTCTAGGAATTATATTGTCATACCTCATATATTTGTAGTCTGATAGTTGCAATAACAACCTCCATTCTCATAGTCATACCTCCGTTTTTCCTGTTACAGCAGTTGTTCATGGTGTTATAATGTGGCTGTGCCATCTGATAGGCACTAAAAGAGATCCATTTTTCTCAGTAAATAACACACACCTGGTCAGACATGACCCCTTCCCTTCTTTGAAGTATGAGCCTGTGTGAGGAAGCTTGTACTGAGGGGTGTGCCTGTTACTCAGCTATGTCAGCCCTGAGCACTGCAGAGTCAGAGCAGGAAGCGTTTTAAAGTTTGATACCTTGAAAAAATGTTTGATACCTTAGTTGGGCTTTAAATTAATGGATTTTATTTGATTGCAGAATCATTTTTATATTTGTAAATATAAATTATTTTTTTGTTTCCTTTTTTTAGGTTGGGCGGATTGCTTTGGCTATTTTCATCTTGATGCATAATACGGAATTAAGAACTGGAATTAATTTGCATTTACACTTTCCATTCTCTCAAGTCGACTTACCATCTTCAGTGATCATATTATCATCAGATAATAAATTGGATGCTACATGGTCTTCCCTGAGGCATTGCCTGAAGGCTCTACTCATCTGTGATATCATTATTTCTGCTTTACTAATGCACAGGGAACACACACAAGATACATAGAAGACAAAAACTTGACCAACAAGGTGAAAAGAAAAAAAAATTCTTCAAGTATCTGGTCAATGGGCCTTTGAAAAGTAGGACTTGTCACTGAAGACAATGTTATAGAAATTAATTGCATGTGTTTTTTTTAAGTCATTCATTTCACATCATTAAACAGACACAATGAGTCTGGCCAGCCTTCCAGTCATAAAAAACCTGGTTTCTCGGTCCAGGCGAGAACGGGTGTCACTGACACCAGATATGATTAGCCTTCCTCTAGGTGACTTCCGACACACTATGCACGTGGGTAGAAAAGGTGAAGTCTTTGGAGATACCTCATTTCTCAGCAATTGTCATGAGAAACAAAGACATAATCGTTGGAGTTATATAACCAAGAAACTCCGCCAGGCTAGATGGATGTCACCTGAACCCCAATCCCCAGGGCATCCCACATCACCTCCACCGCCTGTCTCCCCATCATTAAGAATGCTGTGTCCTTGCCACTTCTCAACAAACGGAATTGGGATGATGAAAGAGATGGGAGCTCAGAAGAAGCTTGGAATTGTATCTCAGAGACAAGCAGCCCTTATGGTACGTTAAAAATCCAAAAGAAAATGTAATTTCAATATTTTTTTTTTTTAAATGAGTCTGGCATTTGAGTTTGAAGTAAATACCAGCGAATTATTTTACACATCACCTTTTTATATCTCTTGGGAACACCAATGGATAGAATAATGCTCCCGAGTTCACAGCTCCACCCGCCTGCTGTACTTAATAAGAATCTTCCTCACTTTGACCTCCGCTCTGAGTTATCCATTCATACACTTATTTTACTGTATTGAATACTAGGCCAGAGGACTGTGACTCTGTCTTTTGTACTGTCTGTGCCTCCTGCACATTGCTGAATCACTGACCCCATTTAGTTGTCCGCTGGAAGATTCCCCAGCCAAATGTAAACAAGGGGATTCAGGTTATGTCATTACCCAAATATGGCATTGTCCATATTTGGGAAATTACTTGTCACTGGGTGGCTGGAACCTAATTGGGTACGAATCATAACAAAACGAAAACATATCTAGTGTCTACGACATCCTTACGATTCCCCCAGACTGTGCTTTAGCAAACATTGTCACTCATTTAGGGTTTACCTTTACTTTAAGCCACGCAGATATACAACTTAGTTGTAAAGCAGTTATGTATTAGCAAATTGACTAGAGTTGTCACCCCCCTCTCCTAGTTACCTCTTCTTCCTGAAAACCACCAGTTGGTGATGCACATGTGCAACATGGCCCCCTTCATTCCTATGAGTAAGTCAAACTCCAAGTGACCACCACAGGCTTCCATGAGTATGGCACACCCATAGGAATTAATGACTCCACATGTGCATGCACAGTAAGAAGCGGGAGAAAGGCTTTGTTGCTCTGGGCAATGAAGATCTTAGGATCAAGATAAACATTTATCCTAGTGGGATACATTTAGGAGAGTACGGGATGTTATTTAACCACTTGCCTACTGGACACTTATACCCCCTTCTTTACCAGGCCAATTTTCAGCTTTCAGCACTGTCACATTTTGAATGACAATTGCGCGGTCATGCAACATTGTACTCATATGACATTTTTTTTATTTTTTTCTCACAAACAGAGCTTTCTTTTGGTGGTATTTACTTGCCGCTAGGTGTTTTGTTTTTTGCGCTATAAACAAAAAAAGAGCAAAACATTTGAAAAAAAAGTTTCTTTGTTTCTATTATAAAATTTTGCAAACAGGTAATTTTTCTCCTTCACTGATGTGCGTTGATGAGGCTGCACTGGTAGACGGCACTGATGGGCACTGATAGGTGGCACTAATGGGCACTGATAGGCGGCACTGATGGGCACTGATTTGCGGCACTGATAGGTAGCACTAATGAGGTGGCACTGATAGACAGCATTGATGAGCTGGCACTGATGATGGGTACTGATAGTCGGCAATGATAGGCGGCACTGACTGGCGGCACTGCTGGGCACTGACTGACGACACTGCTGAGTACTGACTGGCGGCACTGCTGGGCTGCACTAATGGGCACTGGTGGGTGGCACTGGTGGGCACTGATGGGCACAGATGGGTGGCACTGATGGGCACTGGTGGGTGGCACTTCTGGGCACAGGTGGGCGACACTACTGGGCACTTGTAGGCGGAACTGGTGGGTGGCACTACTGGGCACCAATCACCAGGGCACTGATCATCAGTACCCTGATGATCGGTGCCGATCCCTACTCTGACAACTGCCGGTTTTCGGCAGTACTTTCCTCACGGGCTGACAGCATGAGGAAAGTGCAGACGAGAACCGGCAGTTTCATTTCCCCGTGATCAGCATGTCATTGGACACGGCTGATCACGTGGTAAAAGGCCGCTGTGATTGGGGGTCTAGTATGGATTTTTTTTTTTTAATGTTGGTGTGGGGATCTTACTAAAATCCATACCAGACCTGAAGGACCTAGTATGGATTGGGGGACCCCCACGCTTTTTTTTTCTCGAATTTCAGTTGCCAGCAATTCTTTTGTTTACCCCGCTGACAGCTGATGAGTCATCAATTGTTAAGGACGCAGGCGGCCAATTTGCTGGCCTGCTCCTTAAAGTGAAGCTCCACCCAAAAGGGAAGTTCCACTTTAAGCCTTTGTCCCCCGCCTATTCACAAAGCGCAGCACTTCTCGCGCATGCGCAGTGGGCACCTGGCTGTGAAGCTGCAAGCTGTTACAGCCAAGTGCCCATACTGAAGATGCCAGTGCCAGGGAAAGAAGACGGCCGGTGAAACCAGCGGTGGTGAGGACACCGCTGGACTGAGGGACAGGTAAGTGTCTGTCTTTTAAATGTCACCAGCTTCAGTTTTTGTAGCTGCTGATTTTTTATTTTTTTTTCAGCTGGAACTCCCCTTTAATAACCAGCTAAATGCCGTCAAAACGCCAACAAAAAATGCTGGAAAAAAAAGCTATTATTAGTGTTTTTCATCCAGCATTTTTCCAGCGTTTTGTCAGCTCCTAGTGTGCATAGAGCATATACAGTTGTGTTTAAAATAATAGCAGTGTGTTGAAAAAAGTGAATAAAGCTCAAAATCCTTCTAATAGCTGTTATTTCCATACACACAAATGCATTGGGAACACTACACATTCTATTCCAAATCAAAACATGAAGAAAAATATATCAAATTTGTGTTGTTCCTCTAAAAAAATTGAAGAAAAGTGAATATTAGACTGTTCAAAAAAATAGCAGTGTTTGTATTCTTCTTTACAAACTCAAACATTCACTATATAAACTGAAAAATGTTTGAAGATTTTGCTTTCCTTTGAATCACTTAATGAATATTTAGTTGTATAAGCACTGTTTCCAAGAACTGCTGTACATCTGTGTTGCATGGAGTCAACCAACTTCTGGCACCTGTGAACAGGTATTCCAGCCCAGGATGATTGGACTACATTCCACAGTTCTTCTCTATTTCTTGGTTTTGCCTCAGAAACTGCATTTTTGATGTCACCCCACAAGTTTTCTATTGGATTAAGATCCGGGGATTGGGTTGGCCACTCCATAACGTCAATCTTGTTGGTCTGGAACCAAGATGTTGCACGTTTACTGGTGTGTTTGGGGTCATTGTCTTGTTGGAACACCCATTTCAAGGGCATTTCCTCTTCAGCATAAGGCAGCATGACCTCTTCAAGTATTCTGATGTATTCAAACTGATCCATGATCCCTGGTATGTGATAAATAGGCCCAACACCGTATTATGAGAAACATCCCCATATCATGATGCTTGCGCAACCATGCTTCACTGTCTTCACAGTGTACTGTGGCTTGAATTCAGTGTTTGGGGGTCGTCTGACAAACTGTCTCCGGCCACTAGACCCAAAAAGAACAATCTTACTTTCATCAGTCCACGAAATGTTGCGCCATTTCTCTTTAGGCCAGTCAATGTGCTCTTTGGCAAATTGTAACCTCTTCAACACGTCTTTTTTTCAACAGTGGGACTTTGCGGGGGCTTCTTGCAGATAGCTTGGCTTCACATAGGCGTCTTCTAATTGTAACAGAACTCACAGGTAACTTTAGACTTTCTTTGAACTTCCTGGAGCTGATTGTTGGCTGAGTCCTTGCCATTTTGGCTATTCTTCTATCCATTCGAATGGTAGTTTTTCGCTTTCTTCCACGTTTTTCAGGTTTTCGTTGCCATTTTAAAGCATTTGCGATCATTTTAGCTGAGCAGCCTATCATTTTCTGTACTTCTTTATATGTTTTCCCCTCTCCAATCAACTTTTTAATCAAGGTATGCTGTTCTTCTGAACAATGTCTGCAACGACCCATTTTCCTCAGAATTTCAGAGAGAAATGCACTGTAACCAGCATGTACAACATTTGCTGCCTTCCTTCCTTAAATAAGGGCAATAATTGCCACCTGTTTTTCAAAGAATAAATGACCTCACTAATAGAACTCCACACTGCTATAATTTTGAACATGTCCCTTTCAATTAGTGATTCAATTACACAGAATCAGCAGCATGCATGTCATGACTGTTGGGTCTGTTGGATTTCTATTACTCTACTACACCTGCTAGTAAATTATTTGCCATGTAGAAATATGATTTCTACCAAAAACAGTGATTGATCCAGTTAGTGATGTCTGACTGCTATTATTTTGAACACAACTGTAAGTATCAAACATCAATTCCACATTCTTTAACCGTATTTACATAATATTTCATTTTATTACATTACATATTGTCGCATTATTGGCTTGCCTATGTACAGGAACGTCTGACATTTAAATTACATCTATACTTTGAATTATGTTCTTAAAGAAGAACCACTACAAAAACATTTCTACAGTTTCTGAAGGCAGAGCTTTCGATCTAAGCATAAATAATTAAACATGTAGTCTCAGTTTCTTTATCTGAAAGAGCTAACGATATGCAAATGAGCTAATCTTCTGAGGCAGACCACCAGAGTAATGTGTTCATAATCTGATATATGTTAGGAGTAAGTATGAGCTGTGTTGTCTTTGTAACTACCCAGCCACTGACAGCGATGACATTTTCAGGAGGAGGAGTGGACGCGGTTCAGCTTCTTTCTTTAATCCCTCAAATGAGACCGGACAGATATTACCATTTTTCACTGAAAGATTTGGGGTTTTTTTTAATTGCTTTTATTTTGCATTTATCCTACGTTTTTGGTTTATTTAGATGCATATAATAAATAGCAGAGTTATTCTGCAATGTTCAACTTACATTACAATGCAGATGTGTTAATCAAGCAACACTGTCACTATCTAAATAGAGACAAGCAATTGTTCATACCAGTGTTTGGGCTCATTCATATGTGCAAAGCCCCTGCCATCCCTCTAAAAAGTGATCTGCTGTGGATCACATTTCATTTGAGAACGAGAAAATACTCCACCTCCTCATCCTGTTTTACGATGTAAATGCAGGGCACTTGCGGACAACCATGTACACTTAAATGGGTCTTGTTCGGTGGTAGTACTGCCCACAAAAGGCAACATGCTGTTTAATTTTTATCTTCTTTAGGTGGGCAGGGGCAGTCAACAGGGCAGTAAAACTGCATCTCAACCAC